CAGCCAGCCAGCCAGCCAGCCGCAGCACACCAGCCAGCAGCAGCAGCAGCGCTGAAGAGCAAGTGTTTCAGGGGAAAATCGAAAAGCCCAGACGAATTTCCGCGAAACCCGCGCGAAAGCCTCGCGAAAGAACCGCGAAAGTCGAAAATATCCGGGAAAGGTATCTGGCCCCAGCAAAAAGTTTCAGCAAGTTTTCCTCCTCTTCTGATGACAACAATAATACTTGAACGGTGCTGCTACAACTCCTTGTGCCAGGATGTTGCCGGAAAGAAATTTGTTCAGTTTTGACCACCCTAAGGACACTTATATCGGATAACTTATATAGATCAATCACTTTATTGTACCATATCCCAATCGAATTTCCCAATCGAAAACGAATCGCCGCGAAAGCCGCCGCGAAAGCCCCACATAACACCACACCTTCCGCGAAAGCCAGAATGCAGGCCGCGAAAGCTCCGCGAAAGCTGTGCGAAAGCAAACCTGGATTATACAAAAAAGTAATAGGGGTTTTCGAAGCTGCTCAATTGCAGCATATGAACGCGAAAGTGAACATGCATTCCTGCTGGGGCGCACAGGTGATCAAGTGCCATCTAGTACCCCTGTGGATGCGCGTGGCACTCTTCGGCACAAGTGTCAGGTGTCAGGGGGTCTTCAAAGTCTTGATTCAGACCCCCCCTGGAAAAATAAACAAAAACACTGCATGGTGGCTTCATTTCACTTTCTCTTCTCTGTGGCCCCACTGGCTTCGCTCACAGAGAGCCTTTGATGCTGCTGCCAGGGCTCTTCCATTTGGGTAGTTGGCAAAGTTCTCCTGCATACGTCAACACAGAGAGGAAGTCACCACTCCTGGATTTTGAGCTGTAGAGGGTTCGCAGCGTGTCTCCCGCACATGCTTCGAGAGCTTGCCAAGAAGTTCTGTTTCAAGACAGCTGGGAGTCACCAATCTTGGGTGAGCGGTAAAGGCTTCCGTCTCGTCTCCCTGTATGCACTTGAGGGCGTTGCTGAAGTTGTGCTTCAAGACAGCTGGGTCACCATTCTTGCACATTCCACCACAAAAAGTTATTCTTCTGGCCTTCATGCATGTTCTGCCATGAGGTCGCTTGGAGGCTGCAACGATCAGAGTTTTCACTACCCATGCATGCAGCTCCTAATTGGCTTTCCAGCTTCTACTTCGGGGAGTTGGAGCTTTGCTTCAACAAAGCTTGCAGAGTACTATACAAGCCAGCCAATCAGGTCTACCGACGGTCGAAACACTTGTGGTTTCCGGCCCTCTACACGGCCATCAAGCTACGAATCACTACTGATCGCTTGTGTTCCTTGGGGGCTTTACACAAGCCACTGCAAGTTTAACCGTGTTGAACGTTGTGCTTCGTGCGGCCGTTCCCACTATTGTTGAAACGTTGTACTTTTGTTCCGTGTGTACAGACGATTTACGTTGATTTAAGGACTCAAGTTTTTGTCTTTCACAAATGGACATTTGACCATGCGGCATCTAGTGTATCCCAGCTTCACAAGCTGATTCACAACAACTCCCACCTCCGAAGACGTCTCAGTTTGGAAGGTTCTTCGACGGAGATGGTACTCCTCCAGAGTCGATGGATAAATCCAATTAGAACCCCTGCATTTTCCAGACATGGACAGTGGCTCTAGCTCAGCACTGGGTTCTCACAGGTGTCACAGATAGCTTCCCCAGCTTCGGTCCTTGAGCTCGCAGGATTCGCATATTGCTTGCGATCACAGCTGAAATAGCTGAAGTTCGGGCTGGATGTTGCAGGATCGGATAAAGTTCAGACAATAACAAATCTGCATGTTTGGACACTGTCGGGGAAGGGAAGGCCACGGCCTGAGGCTACCAACTTGGTGCATACATGTTTTTTGTGCCTGTGGATGTAAACATGTCCTTTTTGCAACTAGAACTGGGTCGAAATATTAGGAATATTTAGGAATAAATTATATAGTATAGGTATATTAAGTTATATATATATATATCCAGGTGGTAGAATAGCGCAGTCTCCCAGCAAAGCTGGTTTTTGTGGGTGGGGAGTTGGGTGGGGTTCTTTGGGTTCCAGCATGTGTCATCCAGCCTGGGTCGAACGCTATAATCCGCACCCCCGAACGGAATGAACGATCAATCGACGATGTGCCCAAACGCTGGCACTTCCGAAGGCGGACGTTCCTGCTATTTAAATCGAGTGCAGGAGGCCAAGTGGCACTGCCCAACACCAGGGCACATGCGAAAAGCATGTCGAGCATGTCATCCGGAGAGACCTTGAGGAGCATGAAGGAAGATGCTGCTGCAAATCCAGTGGATTGTATAATATTCTCTCTTGACCAAAGCTTTATTTCCGTCCATTACACTGCAATAGGTATGTCTCCATGCCCACAGGAACATACACTAAGGGAAAATGTGGTGCTGATAGTCGATGAATCAGTATTCCTGCACCCATACTTGATTGATCCAGAATCAATGAAGCAAACAAAGAACTCTGATGAGTTTTGCTGTCATGTTGATATTTTTTTAAGCCTCCGCCATCCAACGTAATAGATATGAAACCACATCTCATGTATTGAACCTCGCCTGCGGTTGAACCTCCTCTCAATCTTGAAGTGCTTATTTGCAGTGTACCCTCACCCGGGGTGCACGTGCCATGCTCTTGGCGGACGACCCATGGTGCAGCGTGCCCGAACCGCGGAGACACCGGGCTCACGAGAACGAATGCCTCGAATGGCCGGGTCTGGAGCTCGGAGCTAACTGAGTGCTAGCAGTGGAGCAGTGAATCCATGACAACCAACAGGAGCAAAGGGCATCGCTACTAGGAACAAGAACGAGGGGCTGGCCGTACTACTAGGAGCAAGAAGCTACTAGGAGCAAAGGGCATTGCTGCTAGGAACAAAAAACGCTACTAGAATTTATAATATGCCATAGACTCATAGACAATGTCATGATGAGTTACAGTTGGTGATGAAGTGGATAGTTCTTCCTGCTGAAGAGGTTAGTTCACAGCAAGAGAGAAGGTAGTTTGGGAAGTTACACTGTCGCATGTCAAATCTGTTTGGTCAGCAGGCAAGCACTATGAGCACCCATGTAGCACCTTAGGAGACCAGCATCTCTGATATTCTGTGGTGTTTGAGACCAATTATATATATAGACATGGACTTCAGAAGTCAGTGCACCTTTGCTGGTTATATATATATAGACATGGACTTCAGAAGTCAGTGCACCTTTGCTGGATAGAGGAAAACAGGTTGGCCACGGAACCTCCTCCTCAGAACGCACGACATGGAAGCAGATGATGACGGAGGATACATGAAGGCCCATAGTTGGTGTGTGGCCTGCTCTGGCAAGCAAGCATCACCCCTGGTGTTTTGGTACTAAAGAGCCCTGCAAGTCTGGTTACCTTGAGGTTGCTTCCTGGCTGACAAACTTCCATACCTTAGACTTCAGACATCTCCAGACCATGGGCGGTTTGATGCAACCCCTGCTCCCCTGAGCGACATCTGCCAACCTCCGACTAGAAGAGCCAAAGTGCCGTCGATGGAGAGAAGTGGTTTGTATGCCGTATCCGTCCACCTGGGCCAGGGTACTAAAACAGGTGCACAAGGCAAATGCCTTCTGCAACTGCAGCGGCGAAGCGCAAAAAAAGGACATGCCACTTGGATCATTTTGGGCTTTGGCTCCTTGGAACTCAGTAGAGCAAGTTTGGCAAGAACGACACTAACGTGGGTGCGGACAGTCAGAAATTGATGCCTAGATAATACCAAGCATCGAGGCCAAGGAAGCATATGCCCGATTGCTTGCCTCCAACTCAGTGAGAAGGTCTATAGGTGTGGATCAAACATGATACAGGATATCAATGTCAGAAATCCGGCCAATCTTGGGAAACATATTTGGGTATGGCGTTCATGAACCTGGGGCCCCCCAGATTGTTCATATGACCCCGCATCTCTTTGGTTTGACTTGCCTTTTCGAGGTGGAGTGACAGCCAAACCTCGCCTTCGCTGCGACGAAAAGTGTGGCTGCTGACCTGCTGACTGCCCATGAGTGAAGACAAGTTTAAGTTCAGGAGGTTTTCCAGGTCCATGGTCCGTGTCTGTGTAATGTCTATTCCGTAGCGCGCCAGGTAGCGTGTATGTATGTTTTTGCTGCCGGGACGAGCTTGGACAAATGCTTTATCAAACAGGGTGCATTTTTTGACCTTGTACCTCGTCTTCCGGGGATGAGTTTTCTCTCTAGTGACTCTAGTGTATTTGCGATGTTGACCCCTCACACCCCGATATAGGAACAACCAAAGCACCACTTTTTACCCACCTTCGGGGGGCCCAAAAGGATGAATCAGATGAATCATGATATTTCTTACAAGGCATGGCGCACAAAACTCCGTTATTTACAATGTTTGTGCAGACAGTGTTCAAACAAAGTATATTTGCGATTTCTTCTGCAACCCTGCCTTCAAATCCATATATTTTTTAATGTTATTTTATAGTATATCATATTTTGGGACAGGTCTTCTTGCCTTTTGCAGATTGAGACCACGTGAGGCCCAAAACACAAACACGCATGACTTCAGGTCACCCCTCCAAATTTCGACCTCGCCCGAAGCAACAAGAAAGAAGTATCAGTCAACTTTTAAAAGAAGCTCCCTCTCAGCAGGAAGGATTTTGAGGCAAAAACGGGGAACGACGAAGATCTGTTTCGGTAGACCGCTGCCGTGGTGGGGCTCCGACAAACTGCAGCGTCGGATTCTTTGCTGACCAGCTCAACCAGTCGCTTGAGTGGTGTGACTTGGTAGTATAGGATGAAATTTTGAGGCCTGGGTTTGTGTGTCTGAGAAATATACTGTTTTCAATTGTTTGAGTTTTAAGTTGACCGGCTGGTCTATGCAGGAATTGGCTCAACAAAACGCAAATTACTTAGTTGAAACATGTCATCGCAGATCATCAGATCATGGCAGAAAGAATCTGAAGTTTGAGCTTCAGAAATTGAGACCCAATCTGGAAGGTGAACATCTGACAGTGTGTTGGGATCCGGAAATCCTCGTGCCTCACCGCTCAAAATGGATGCCTTTGGCGACGCAGGCCAGACATGCGAATCCAAGGGACGACTGCATGTGTTCACTACAATGCGGTTGAGTAAATCTCATGGTTCAGGAATGGCACGTGGCCGCATCCAGTGCCTCACCAGCACGTCGGTGTGGTCAGCAGCCAACTATCCATTTTCTTTCACCGGGTAAAGAGAAAGCCACCAATTCTTTTTACAAGTTCCGGCGCCCAATGACTGGGATTTACGCTTAACCAATTGGACTGTCTCAATAGATAGGCAGCTAAGTTCAGCAGATCAAGACTGTAGAATATACAAGAAAGTTGTGCTTCCTTTGGACACGCCAGGACTTCGCGAGAGCTTCTGGGATCTGCACAGGAAACTGGGGCAGAGCTACCAGGCGAGGAACACTGCCGAGCTGCAAAAGGAATTGGAACGAGCATGAAACAAAAGACAGGACACCACAGAAAACTCGATGAGTTGCGGCCACTCAAAAGGCGGTGAATCAACTGCCCAGTTTTCCCAGTTGTATTTCTACTCACCTTCGTGTGTTTGGAAGGTCCGTGGTGATCATGGTGCAGTTTTCTGCTAAGTGGCAAGCCCGTAGGTTTTAAAATCAGAGTTTCTTAGAAGACATGGTTTCCTGGTGCAGCGGCAAAGGATCATATCGCTAGTGATTAGTGGCTACACCTGTCCTACTCAGCAATAGGTGTCCACACTCAATTACCCGGCCAGTATCAATAGACACTAAAACACGCAGTTGGAGTTCCCTTGTTTTGAGTCACATTGAGTTTACTAATTTTTGCAGGTGAACCCATGCTGAGGCCTTGTATGCCGAGTTCACCAACCTGAAACGTGGCGCAGACTTGGATATTTTGGAAGAGGAGAGGAAACTGATGGCTGATTGGTTTGGATGAGGTCTGACGAGGTTGATAATGGTTGGTTTGTGGATGGTGGACAACCAATTGATTAGTCAGTCTACAAAAATCCCTTATCAAATTGAAGAAGAGCATAAGAAGGAAACGATGAAGGAAATACGAGATAGAACACGCAGAAACCTGTTCCTCAAACCTTTAGCATCTATCCATCTTGCTGTCTCATGAATCAGATCCGATTCTCTCATGTGTTGACAAGATCCTGCACAACCCATTTGGATGCCCAGAACTAGGAACAAGGACGCTACTAGGGGCTCCTGGCCTTACTTGTAGGAGCAAGGACGCTACTAGGGGCGCCCAGAAAGGCTGGACATCCGGACTTTCACGAAGCGCCCGCCCACGATGAGGAGCCTTTCGCACCTCCGGCAAAGGCCCGGCGACTGAAAGAGGAGCGTGGCCTTTCTTAGGAACCCACCGTGCCACAGGAGGACCCAGGTGCTGCAACAGGCACTTTGAGCAAGTACGTTAGCTTGCCTCCAGGTGCAAACCATAATATGAAACAATGATGATCCATGATTCTGACTGTATCAATCGCAGACACCCCTGTACTGCGAGGTACTGCCAGTGCAGGGTTGCTGAAAACAATCATAATAGTGACTCCTTTCTTATTCCAGAGCATTTGCGGTGTCAGAACAGCTTTGGGTTATCAGCATGGATCGCTGGCGTGCTTTGCCCTAGGCGCACACTGGCACGTTGCCAGAAGCGCACGACATGTTCCTGGACCATCGTCCCCGGACAGGCGTGGCTGTAACAGGTCGTTTGTAAGTCGCAGGTGTTGTTGGCGTATATTTTATTGTACAACCACTTCACGAAACGGATGGCCTGTAATGGATCAAGCAAAGAAACCAAAGCAGGGGTGATCGCGCTGCTGGCTTGCTGCCTTACCTACGGACATGTACGCCTCCTACTTTAGTGAGCATCTTCGTGACATCAATGACTAGGTTGTTACTGAGTAGTCACATGCAAAGCAGCTAGCACAAACACAAATAAACAACTTTAACTGTATTTATATATATCATACACACATTATTCACAATCTACAATGCACATATCAATGACAAGCTGCAGTAGAAGCATCAATGAACAGCCACAATCACGGCAGAAGTTACAATCAGTGACAATAGCAACAACCAACACAAGGGCAGACCAGTATAATGACTAGCAATGACAAGCCGCCATGACAAGAGCAAGGACTATTTCTGGCAGCAACAGCAACAACACAAAATGACAACATCAAGGCATCAAGGACTCCATGACAACCCACAAGGGGCGGATTGACATGCCACAATTGCAACATCAGCGGCTAGCTTCAACTGCAACTGCAGTGACAAGTCACAAAGATAGCCTCAACAACTGACACAATGGTCACTTAAAGAATCACAAAGATGGAAATGCACCATGCTGTTCGAACTTGGAGTGCCACCTATTCAGCTGCGGATAGCTCTGGGTGTGAAAAGTAAAATTTGGGCGTGTTATTTTTTAATGTAAGCTCCAGCAACTTCTCGACTCGACAAAGAGGAGGATCATCTCAAGGCCACTGGGTGTCGACTAGTGACTAGTGAATTCCATCAATAGGGCTTCATGTTATTAGGCAAAACATCATGTGCAGCCGTGGTCGACTTGTGAGGCGACTCAAGTGCGGCACCAACCTCACCAGGCTCGTGGCACACAAGATTTGATAAGATTTTTTTCCAAGTTCATATGGCATCCATCCGCTACAGAACGAATCCATTGTCACAGTTTTCATCCTGTAAGTGGGTGGCTCTGTAAGTTTCTTTGGGAAGAGTGTAGCTGGTACACCAACTAACTAGAGGACATCCTGCCTTTACCGTGTGCTCCAACCTTGTGTAGTGATCACAGAGCCGCAGTAGAGCCTGAAGGGTTTCGTCATGTTCGGCAAAGCACTTAATGCCAAGATTGAGAACGTTCAAAAGGTTTGGCGCTCGGTCTCCCTTGTGTGTTAGTTTCAGAACCCACACAAAGAGCTCCTCTTCACTCTTTCACGTGAATCCACTCTGCTACTTTGCAGCTTGGGTCCCCATCACGTTTTTCGGTAGGCACTGTAGTTCCAAGGACACCTAGACGCTGTGAATTGATGGTCTATAGCTTGCCGCCCTACTTAGTTGGTGTTGCATGTCATGTTGGAGAGGAGATTGTTTGAAAAGGTTTGAACCCTTTTTGTGTGATTACTTCGCTTGAGTCACAAGCCATAGGAACCACGTCATGAGTCATATGATATTTACTGCCGGTGAAGTGGAAAACCGCCGGTTTGTAATTAGAGGTAAATGGTCATCCGACAAGCCATGCCACCTGAAATGCCAGGGCTTCCAGAGCGGTGGCCGGCAAGCCCTCCGAGCGGTCCACGCTTGATGTGTGGAAGCCTTGTGGTCTTAAATTTCACCGAGGCCTTGACACTGAGAGCCATCTTCCCAAGTGGTAAACACATGGGATGTTGGGTTTGCCACTTATGCCGACTTGGGATTGGGGATTGGTCTGTCAACAATTCTGACGCGGGTACCCTATCCTCGGCTGACAGGTGAGCTTAAATTTGCAGCGCCTGTGTCGTGCCAAGGGCCACCAGCGCAGGAAAGGTTCCCTGGTATGTTTTTGAGACTCGAAAGTCTTTAAACGATCGGTTCTCGGCAAAACAGATGGCTTAACATGGACCTGAGCCAATTGAAGGACATCAGTGACACAATTGAGGGGCTTTGTCATTGGAGGAGTTGAAGGGAGTCCAGCAGGAAAGTACTAAGATGTACCAAGCAGTTCTTGGGAAATTGCCTAGCCATTCCAACACTCGGCAAAAGCCGCATCTCAACTAACTGATGCGTGTCGGCTCGATTTGTGTGTGTGTGGGCTCGAACGACAAAGTCATGAGGTTTGTGACTCTCATTCTTATGCAGATCATTGTTTATGTTAATGGTGCGCATGGCAGGGGCCCCCCTAATCAGCGAGCATCCATAGATATATAGGGATATAGGGATACTTATTTGTATATATCGAGACATCCCGTATGATCCCGTGTTGTCATGCATTGAGCCATTCCGAGTCAATGGCATCGCCCCGAGGCCACTTCAACGTGCACGTGCAGGGACCATGGAAGGAGTGACGAGTTTTGCAGACAGCTTTTGAGTTGGATTCTGCATTCTTGTCTTCCAGGGTCATCACGCTCCTGCACAAGCCATGACATCTCCAGTGTGGGTTGGAAAACGTTTCTTTTGTAGTCAGGTTCTGTTTCCATGCTTGAGTCAGCAGACGGTAAGGGGTGTCCAATGGAAACCTAGAAGTAGTGATGGATACTCCATTGATGGCCCCGCTTGCTTCTTCTCGTTGTTTCTAGAGTATACTTGGGCCAAATGTGGCACACCTGGTCACCCCAGGAACAAGTGAGTGTGATCTTTCGGCCTCGGGTTGTGCACAAACCTTTAAGACACACACTTGCGAAAAGATTCAGTTGATTGCCATTTGCCCTGAAGAGGCCTGAGTAAAAACAGGTAATAACCAGCAATTGCTATGGAAGACAGTCTAAACATCTCAAAGTCCTCAAGAACAAGCTCAAAGGAATGCAAACCTGTTGAACGCCATCACCGTGAGCATGTAGCAGTTACGTCAGAGTGGCCAACTCTGATATCACCAGATCAAATGACGTCTTCGTTGGTAGCGGTCCCAAGTGATTTGCCTCTACCCCCTGCTGAAAGCATTGAACTGAAACACATGCAACGAGCCAAAAAGCCACGGATTTCACACAAGAAAAACGATAGTAAAATGATCACATAGAGTTGTATATGATTCGAAGGCTTCTGACCCACACGCACTTTTGCTGACCCACTGGTCCACAAGTCATCGTATGACTTCGACTCCAAGGCTTGAGCCACAAAGTCTCTCACCCCGCTCTGCTGCTGATCACTTTGGTCTTTGCTAATATGGAACTGTCTGTGGAATTGGGGTTCAGGATTGAATCAGCTATGCTACTATCATTGGCCACGTCTTTGGGTAGTAAGCCAGCCAGCTCCACTACCATCATTGGCCACATGTCAATGTTTGGATAGTAAACCAGCCAGCTCCATTGGCCATAATGATTTGGATGCCAAATAGCCAAGTCAGGCGCACCCTCACCACAAAACTGACGTTGGTCAGCTCAGCTCCACCACGTCTGGCTGAGTATTAGTGTTCTTCACGCTGTGTCATCATATAACAGTGCTTTCCACACACACAAAAGGCTCAATATTTTTTTCCGCCTCATAGGTTAATATTTTTCTGCCTATGAATTGGCACTATGCTATTGCCCCTCCTCAGGAGCCCTGTCTATGTCCTCCTATGGCCAAGGTGCACGCTGGTGCAGGGTGATTGGGGAGGGAGCATGGGTAAAGCTAGACCTAACATCAACATTCACATTCTTGTCAGGGTCACCTGGTGAAAGACGACTCTTGCTGCAGCTTTGCTGCAATGACAAGACTACATAATGCTGTGCTGTTCGGTCTGCTCATGAGGATCTAAACCTGCATTGCCAGATCCCAGCTTTACGCAGAGCATCATCCAGCTAAAAAACACCTTCAGTTGGGCTGCCGACCTCTGCAGATGGACAAGATGTTGCACCATTTTGCCATGGCAGATGTTCGTTTCGGATGTGCAGAACCAGTGAGGCTCCACGACTACCGTTTCTGTCAGTTAGTTCCCTGTTTCTGTTTCCAGGACCCTCATCACTCTGCACCTTAGCCCACTTCAAAGACTTTGTAGAAACAAAGGAAAGGTTTGGGAGTGTTTTGGGCATTTAGCAAGGAATGGGTCAAACTATATATTTCTGCATCAAAATTGTCATTTGCGATAGATGGAACCCAATACTATCCCAAAAACTGTCTTCATGTGTGTTATCTTAGGTCTACTCTTAGACTAGTGTGGGATGGGTCAACCCCACTAAAACCCGGTCAAACCTGTCATGTTTGGGAATGTTCACATTGTTGACATTCATTGACAAGCTTAGACAGGTGAACCAAAAGGGATGTGATGCCACCCTTGGATCATGGGAATGCATCTGAGACGTAGGGAACCTGCCAGCTGGACATGCTGAACAGCAACCCACTTGTACCATCCTTTTCCTCGGCAATATCAATTTTTCATTCTAGAAGTGCTCCTGTGGGTCTATCAGCTCTGACTTTCTCACTTCAATCACAGACGCGCCTTGGTCGACCAGAGCAACAGGCGTTGCCGTCGACCGAGTGAGTTCACTCAATGTCCTGTGGCGCTCAGGTGGACTCTCCTTGGCCCAACTGATTAGTCCACGGCCGTTGAACCGGAACATCAGCGCTCCAACAGGCGGCTGCTGTGGATGAAGTGGGTGATGGGTCGGAGCCTCCCTCGAACATGCATGGGCTGGATTGGAAGATGAGCACTCCTCCTGGTTTTCAGTTACTATGTCAGGTTCTTGGGAGGGTACATAAGATAGGAAAGAGACCCCGACCCTGAAGTGTGACCCTTTATTCCAGGAACAGTGCTTTGTCCTAGGGCCCTCACTCGATTTTGCTGAATTGTGCTCTGGATATACATATATATATAATGTTTGCCTGTTGTGTCTACATAGATGTTTGTTGATTCTTTACGTTTTCCATTTGGAGGTTCCAGAAGAGTTTAGGTGAATCTCTTCAAGTGTTGTTTTTGCTAAGTATGCCAGTATATTTAGTATAGTTATTTATATAAGTATTCAATAGTATCTAGAATCTGATAGAATCATAGGATTGAGAGGGTCTCAGAGCCAGTTGTTTCGCATGCTCGGACAGCTGTGGTGCCACATTGTGGGTGAAATATGGTTCCTCCAGAAGGTCTGCCCTTTCGCAAGTCCAGGTGGTGTATATAATGGTGAGATCAGAAGACAGACACCTACTGCTAGCTCCGTTTTGGACTGTAAATGTCGGAAAACGACTTGCGATCTATTTGGTGCCTACAATGAACTTGTTCTTTCCAAGAATGTGCTGCCCAGCTTCACGTTTGGAGGCTGTGAAATTACTATACAATGTATAATATTGTTATAATTGGAATCATTGTTTATTTATGATTAGTTTGGTCCAATATTTCAGTACAATACTAGCCCCCCTTTAAATATACCTCAAAAAAAGACTTCCCCAACACTACTTTGGTCCATTTGCTTGCTGATTATATTGTCTTTGCTCATCCTTAGTTTCACCAATCCCTCAATCCGGCCCTGTTGCCAATATTGATTAATTGCGCCGCACACTTCCCAAGCCCTGGTGAACTCAAAAAAACCGTTTGTTCAAGTTGGCTCACGCGTATGGCCATTGCACATTCAGGAAGATTCATTGGATAGGACATTAGCCACATAGGGTGCAGCAAATGTCCCATACAATCAAGATGCTAGGCAAGCCCACTTCCATGAGGGACTTGTCTTGGTGATCCCTCTTCATGGTACCTGAAGTGATTAGTGTTAAGAAGCTATCCAGATTATTCAGGGGTGGTTTCCAAATTATTCAGGACCAAAGCCGCTTGAACCACTGTTTGGGGGGTACCTATGCAATGAGTCCATTACGGTTGATGGAAGACTCGGAGTGTGGTAGAATAGAGTTATTTGACCCCTAGAAGCGAGCAGTCATCATCAGTGGTCCAACCATTTTGGCCCGCATTGCCCACACAAGACACTAGGCCTGTGATCCCTAGCTTGTATGAAGCAGACATTTGGTCTCTTTAACATCCCTTTGAGCCGAAAACAGAAGACCTCTGGTGAAGTGGATCTACTCAAGCGTTTACTTGACAATTGGGAGACTACCGTGGCTTGTATATCAATGCATGATCACTGTGCCACCCTAAGTGGCTTTGTTACAACCATGCCAGCTCTTTGTTTTTGTTGGCCGCTCCCAGCCTTGATTTTTTGTGTCCTCCACAGTTCGAAACGATACACCGATCCGGGTGATTTGCTCTCGCTACAGGTCCAGGTCACCACGCTGAGAGGCTCTGGAAACAGGGAGCGACCGACACCGACCGATCACCAATCAGCAAGTAATTTGGTTCCCAATATTTTTTTGGTTTGCGGTATTTTACTATATAAGATTTTATAAGACGTGTGTTGAAAGACCAATTCAATATGGGTGTTTGTGCCCTTTTCCTTTGTTTTTTGTTTCTTGTTTCCTCTAGCTTCAGCATGTTTATGCAGTTTCACAAAGATCAAACATGTGGAACGATCGCTCGTCCGAGCCGTGTCGAGCCTCAGTGGAGTCAGGGCAGTGGTCGTGCAAAAAGTATGTGGGACAATGTGAGGGCTGTCAATGAGCTGAGAAAGCTGGGTCTTCACCTATGAAGAAAGGATTATTGCACGCCAAAAACAGCTGGAACAGAATCTTCAGCAGTTCCTTGTATTGTAACAGGACAGATGTTTCCTTCGTTTCACTAGCTCTTTCTGCCACTGGCAGGCGAACCATGTCACCTGACGTTCTGCCTCAACGAAGACTCAGTGGTGCCCTGTTTGAAGTGGGTGGAAAGTCCTTACCAAGTCCATGAGTCCATGAGCTTTTGCTCCAACACTGATGCCTGTTGCAGATGTTTGCCCCGGAAAACACAGGTTCTCCTACTGTAGTATGCACTATATAATTGATTTATGCAGCTTGCCCTTTGTCGTGCCCCCCCTTCTTTGTAAATAAATAGCCTGAAGGCTTCTTGTAAAGCAAACCGGGCATCCTGAGATGCAAGCATGCCCAGCGGGGTCGTAATTGACAGATCTTGAGCCTTGACTCTTGACGCTTCCTTGTGGCATGCTATGACGACGGAACGAGAATGGTTGGATGAAAGTTTCAGATTGTGTGGCTTTGGAAAGCAAGACGAGAACTGCAAGAATAGGAGCAGATCATCCGACCAACTAATCGTGAGTGTGTAGAGGTGTTCGCATGGGGTTGCAGTTCTTTTGTTAGAATTCAGCCCAGTAATCATCAGTATAAATGTGACATGTCAACTGCTTTGTTTTTGGACATCAGGAATCACCGCACAATCATGCAAGATCCACCGTAACGGAACATGAATCAGATTGCCCATGACAGATTGACCTTCGAACTGAAGTTCTTCGTGCGCAAGAACCTGTGTTTGCATTGTGTCAGTCCACTGCTTGCATCTTGCAGCTGAGGTAGTGGAGTGGCAAGTATGAATGCCCGAATCTTTATGGATATGGTGACCCCGGACAGATACGCGGATGACCGGTCACTTGGCGGGTGCCATTCTCGGATTTGTTGCGGTTGTTTCCTCTGCTTCATCGCATAGACACTGCATAGATGCAGGTGAGAAATGCCAATGACAGGTCTAATAAACATCGGTTGAGTTGTTGGTAACGCATCAAGATACTGTTCCAGAGCAGAAAGCCGTTGTGAATCGAGGATCACCTACCTCATCCGAACCGCTTCACTTTGGGTGTTCCTTAGATGTGTCCCAACCCTTCAACAGTGCGAGATTTACCACTATTTAACCCTTCTTGGGCTGCGAAGTTGATTTAATATCCGTTCCCAAGACTTGTGGACAAACAAAATGTGCGCGCATCATTCGGCGTTTGCCGTTGTTTGTGAAACCATTGTTGGTAAAGCCGCTTGCTGGCCACTATCGTTCAAGAGTCGTAGGCACGATATTCCAGGTTTCTTCACTCCTCACCAAGTGGACAATCCTGCAAAAAGCGTTACTACTGCCACCACTATGAAGAAGCAGGGGAAGAAGGACAAAGGAAGGCATAATTAAGCCTCCAGACTCCAGAATGAGTGTTTTGAGACATGTCTCAGAATGGAGGGATCCCCAACGACCGTGAAAGGGACGGCATTCTGCAACTGTTGGAAGGCCCTCTCCTATTTTTCTATTGAGGATGACCAACTGGTTACTTGTTAGTCATTCAGATGGTGAAGAGCTCGTGTGAGGATTCAAGGGAGCTATGGTCGACAACCTCCACCAGTTGGAAGGGTGGAAGAGCATATGGCCTGCAGCGACATGGGATCAACTGTGGTCGTACCCAATGGAAGGGTTCCTATTAACACCGTATTAATACCCATAGTTCCCACAGCTGGCCGCGCTCAATAGGTTGATCTTGTGCTTCATGCTCCCAAGATGTGATCAGGAGTAGTTTGTTCTTATTGTGTAGGTTGCTTTCAGGAGTGTCTTTTTTTGACATGAAGGGCTGATTTTGCGTTGGTTCGCGCTGTTGGCTGTACTGCGCTCCTAGGAAGGCGGCTGTTGAGAAAGAGCCCAAGATGGAAAAGGTGGTCTCGCGGAAGCTTGGAATTCAGAGCTTGTTCAAGTGCTCTTTATACAGGGATCAGAGCAAGCAAGGACTTGCAGCTCTCCAGTTTGGTATCGTATGCCAACCGCTTCAACTATGAAACGAACCGAGTCCCCATGCATGGTGCATCGCAACGGCATGCCGACTCAACCTTTTGAAAGCGTGCCATGTTTTGAACATCGTGATTTCCGGCATGCAGATTGAGAAGTCTTGCACACACGGGCAAATGTCATTTGGAGGTTGTAGCGGCGTTTGGGGAAGTGGCGGTGGAACTCCGTGGAAGTGTGCATAAACTCCGCTAAAGTTCCTTTAAAACTATTTGTCACACGTTACGGAGATTTGTTGGACTTCTGCTTCTTGGCCTTCACATTTGCCTTACTTACCGGCCGCTGAACTGCTAGCAATACTTGGAAGGACTCACCAGATTACTGGACAATCATCCTCTAAAGAGTTTTGTGGTGTATACAGATACTTGTTAGTACGTAGCATACATTGTCTCAGAAATTGGAAGAGGTATTTCTGGACCTAGTTGTGAAGGTATATATATAGAGAACATCAAAGAACAGCATTCGAACAACACTCAGGCCAACCAGGCGCGGAGTTTAGCAAAACTTTGAGCAAAGGCGTTTGCACTTTTTGCCATTCGTATTCATTGGCAGTCACAAAATTCCACTTCATCAGACATAGGTCCTAGGTGAAGCTGCAGATTTGGCTGCAAAGGCACGATTTTAACAGATTTACCCGGATGGAAACACTTGTGTTTGTACAAATCTGCAAAGGCTAAACACAAAAATTGTTCAAGACATATATATATATATTTATTGACCCGCAGCTACTAACGACTATCAACAACAACACCCAGGGGAGGACACACCTTGATTGATATTGAACAGTGGATTTGAGCTTCTCCAATTCCGAAATTTGATGCGCTGGAGGGTTTACGCCCAAGAATTGCAAGATCTAGTTCATGGGCTGCAGCGTGTACTTGGAATGACCCACGCATAAGCGGGTGTGAGTTGGAGCTCTGATATTCATTGGATGATCTGAATGATGAAGAAAATGACGGTACGGCAGGAGTCGACTTTACATCACCAGAACTGGGAATGGTGCCTGCTAAGTATCGGTCATTGGTTAAGTAGGCCTATGTGTTTTGCCAGATTGTGCAATTTCTTTCTACACGGTTAGAGAAGAATCTATATATATATGTTATACAATAGTTCCTTCTTATCAACGATTGAATTGTACAAGCCTTCTACATCTTGGTTTTGCAAAAATGCATGGGCCATGAGTACGTCAGCAACCTTTTGTTCTCCGCTTTGAGAAGGCGCTAATTTGCTGGTCGCCTCCAACAATCGACTAGCCTTTGCTAATCAATTCTTCGCTGCTACATGACCGTTGGTTTCGGCAAATGCATGGTTCCGCAGAAAGCACATCAAAAAGCCTCAATACTTGAATGAACTCTCGGATGAGACAGAATATCGAAAACCGCTGAATTTGGTACTTAATCTTAATTCATTTGAGCAACCGGCAAAACGTGCAAGGACTAAATGAGTGAAGAGCAGACGTGCATTTCAGGAATTAGTGTAACACCTGCAAAAGGGATAGGGTCCCCCTCAAAAGCGATAACCTTGCTGAATCATGTCCTCTGCTTGACAGTCTTGACACTACGTTTTGGCCGAGGCTCATTTGTTCCACCTTTGGATCACATTGATTCCCTCGCGTTTCGTCTGAGATACAGCCACTAATCCAGTCACTTATGCCACTAGGAGGCGCGGACCATTCGTGCATGTCGCGAGAGATAACACATCAGGGCGCTGTTCACCTTTGAACAGATCCGTGCCCAGGAAAAATGTCAGTATCAACTTGGCGGTGGCTCGGTCAACTCACAAGAGCGTTGCATCGATCAAAACCTTGGAAAGGAGGAACACTCTCGGCCCCCGGTATAGACTCCCCGAAAGAGTGCCCTGCACTTTTGGGAGATGATGCTCCTTTTCGGTGGGGAGTGGCATGTTAGTTCAAAGGCTGTAAACTTCTGAGCAATGTTTCATAGTTGCACATGAAACTGTGGGCAAACGTGTTGGGGGGCATCTGAGGTTCCAGCATAGTGCTCGTGTGCCTGTCCGGTTTCTAATACACGGTTTCCACACTTTTTTCCAGCTCATGATATGAAGGCGACCGCTCCTTCTGTCAATATAGAACAGAACATTCTGAATATGTTAAAGGGAGTCTTAAAGGGATGTGAGGAAGCAACCATGGTTATTGCAACCAGCTTTGTCCAAGTGCGAGAAGCTTTTCAAGAACGTGAACTCCAGGGGTCTGACACTCCCAGGTGGGAGGTCGGCATCAAGTATCCGGGTTCCCTTTAGGTTGGAGGCCATCGCTAATAAAATTGTAAAACAGTGCCTGTGGTCCAACCCATAACATGTGCCTTCGTCATAAACTGTTGTTGCCAGCCTCATTTTGTTTCGGCCTGGCGAGCTTCACCTGGTGGGTCATCCCAGGAATGCGACCTTGGTATTTCTGGACCTTGGTTACATCTCTCCCTTGTCCTGGTTCTCCTGGTCAACCTCCAAGGTGTTCTTTCGTTCTTTTCTTAATTCTTCCGTTCTCTCTTGAGGGGGTTGCGTCAGAGAGCATGCTGAGCGAAAGCATGGACGACGACTTGGAAGCTTTGCACAGGCGAGACAAGAAGTGCCACGGGATACTAGGTTGGAGGCCATCGCTAGTAGGTTGGATGCTATTGGGCTGGAGGCCATTGATATTAGGTTGGAGGCCATCGCAAGTAGGTTGGAGGTCATCGCAAGTAGGTTCTACTATGCTGTTTGTGCTATTTGTTCTCCGTGATGCTTCATGCTTACTTTAAGGGCATCCCAGGATATATTCCACGTGAGCGGTGGTTCCTTGAAGTGTAGCGAGCAGAAACTAGTGATGTGTTTGATCATAAACCCAGTTGTTGTTCTGGTCGAGGTTGTTTACTCCTCTTCGTGGGATTTGGTGGACATAGTCGATGCCTAGCGGCCTAGCCAAAAAGGAACATCATAGGCTCCACGCTTTGCCTCTTCAGACTGTGGAAGACTGCGAGCCAGATTGCACCAGTCACTTGGCTCTTCATTTTACTTAATTTAGGACCACCCAGTTGTTTCCCAGGCATGATCACCACTGGCACTGGTCTTTCCTGGTCCACCATTGCCACAACATACTCAAAAACACCTGCATGCAGCTAGTAGCAGTGCCAGTAGTACCGGAGTAGGTAGAAGGTCAAATTGGACATCCAAGACTGTTCTACACAACATTTTAGACACGGACTTGCACTGCTTGAAGCAGATTTGCCTGTGAGGCCAAGACAATGCTTCACCTCGGTGAGTTTGCAGCCCAAAGCCAGCATGAGATTGATCCTTGGATCTTCACACTTGCTGCGGACGAGACCAACATGGACACCATGAAGCCTTCAAACAGCTACATTGGCAGATGACTTACGAATTCATGTGCTCTTTTCTTGCACATCGTGCAGGCATGAAGAGGCATGGTCTATCGTCATTTGTTTCCTTTTATATAAAACACAGTCCTTGAGGTATATACAATATTGTAACTATAAATAATCTTGAGCTGGAGAGCATGTGACGTGACATTCAGCCCAATTCCTGTGTACACGTGTATACATAGTGGGAAAGTGTTGCTGCCACGACCAACTCAGTGGGTGCAAGCCAGACTGATTAGCGTTTTGTTCAGGCTAATGCACCAGTTCCTGTAGTGGGGCAGCTCACTCTGAGCCGTCTAAGCAGCGTTCAAACGAGTGTTTCAAGTTTCGGTGAATTCGAAGGTTTCGAGGATTCGGCGAACCCAGTTTTGAGTGTCCCCAAAACTGCTCCAGCAATCAATGCGCTTTGGATAGCTGAGCATATTTTGCTGATCAATTGGGGGCCCTCATTTTATGCACTGAAAAAAAAAACACCAGCTTGAGCTCTTATGCATTCTTATGCTGATTTCCAGTCTTCCAGTACAGCACTGTTTGACTCAGAGTTCAATGTGCCAAGTTGGCAATTCAGTGACTTGAACAAATCCTCGGAAGGCACTGTAAAAATTATATAGGGACTATATAAGCCTCCAAGCCACACCATCCCAAAGGAGGTATTTGGATCGCTGCAGCATGTCATGATCTTGGTAGCTCATGTTGAGGGTGATTGATCTAACTGTTGAGCCGCTATAGCTGCCACCAAGGGCAAAAGTGGAGCAGGGCATCGGGGGACGAGGATCGAAGATTCTGGAAGACGTCCCTTGGTTTGGAAGACAAACCAGACCAACTGGACGCCAAACCATCACTGGACGCGAAGATCTAAAATGCCATTCTTCACCCAACTAAATGCTGTTTGGCGTACGTATCAGTTTTTTGGATGCCCTACCAAAGCCCGAGACTGGTAGAAGCAAGATCATGCCTCATAGCCTCATAGCGCCGGATTTCTTCTTGATGGGTTGTCACTGGGGACGTGTGTATTATATATATAAATTTGCTGTTGTCAAAGTTGGGCCATCATAACAGCCTGTGCACGACGACATCAGCCGGGTATTGTGGGACAAGAACGGCATGGGTTTAATATACTATAATACACTCAACATTGATGATCCAGAATATCCAAGCGAATCTATCCCCGTGTAGCATGGGAGCTACTAGTACTGGCGTTTAAAGCACACATGCACATGCATGTTTGGTTTTAGTACGAACTTTGGACCTTTCACCACTCAGCGCCTGACAGCAAGTGATACAGATGGAACGGGCCTTGTTGTTTGAGATTAGTAAGTCGGAAGGAAGGACCCCCATGACCAAGCAGGAGGCAACCACGTATAACAAGAGAAGCTTCCATTGGTTGACCAGAAGTTCGTTCAGATGTGCCATGATTGCCACCACTTGAGATCCTTGGACTTGATGAAGACACATTGCAAATGGTTGCAGGAACTGCATACAGGAATCGATTCGCAATGCAATCTGGAGATAAGCTATGGGATATGATACTGTATATAGAAATCCACGAACAGTGTCGGTTGTAGTTTAAATGGACCCTTTTGCCTCGTTGCCGGAGGATGACTACACGCGTACTGTATGTACCCAAACACAATGTGTACAAGCGTACAACAGGTCTCAGAAATCTAGTGCATATGATTTTCCTCAGAAAGAACAGGGTCCACTCTTTGTATTCCTTGCGCTTCGCGCAGTTGCTATCGACCACGCAGAAGTCCAGAGCTGGCTGCGATGACAAGCGGGGATGGGCAGGGAGGGCTGCATGGGAAGATGTGTTTGTCCCAAGACGAGGCACAGACCCATACCTGCTGGTAGTTAGGACTAGAACACCCCGCAACAAAGAGTGCTTTTCACAGGAGGTGCATCATCCGGTTATCAGGATGGCTTGAGAATCCGTCTGTCAAAGTACTTGGCACACCCCTACCTGCTCTAAAAGAACGGCACATGTACGGTACGTGTAGGCAGCGTAGGCGATGGATTGTGAGAGTAATCCCAAGAATTGCTTGTTAAAATCTCATACAATCCCATAGTCTACACATCTGGCATAGCACCTATTGGACAGAGCCACATGATCTTAAAGACCACTTTTTAGCTGCTAGCTTGATCAGAGCGAGATGGCACCACATCCAAAGAGTAAGGATTGTAATTGATTGTAATTGTACTCGGATAATACGCATGTCCGCTTACTGCAAAAGCTCCGGAACTTGCTGTAATCTACTTAGACGCAATCTACTTATTAATATTGATACTTATATTATATTATATAGACGTTGCTGGACTTAGATTAGATGCCTCAATATGAATCAATAGGTCTATTTTAGTATTCTTTGAATGCAGAAACCCGTACAGTTGAGGATTGATTGTTTGTGTATTAATTTCAGTTCAAGGTCAGAACACCCTGAGCGAAGATATTGTTTCATCATATCCTGTTGTACTGGAAGAATCTTAAGCAGTTGACCAGTTGACCAAAAAAGCTTGACTTAGCAGTCCCATGGTCTTGGTTTGGCCGCCCCTCAGACCTCCATGAATTGAACAGAGCTCGAGTCATCTCCGACCACGACGAGACACCCAGACACCTTTGCTTGGGGTAGACAGGCATCCATTTACTCCGCCACTGTGGGTGGGTTAGGCGAGACATAGACAAGGTCAATGCTAATTTGATGGTGGTTGCAGGCGAAATGTGTTAAAGGTCGGGGTCAACACAGATCCCATGGGTGTGATGACATGTGCCACTTAGAAAGAGCGGATCGGCTGCCTTCCCTGCGTGTGCACCGCGGTCAGGTTTGTGATGACGCCTGGTGGCCGCTCACGTGCCATTTGGGACGCCTTGCGGATGCTTTGTGGCCTGGATTGAAGCAGAAAGTAAACAGGGATACGACATACTACAGTAGCAATGAGTGAACCTGGCACTAAACCACGACCTGGTTACCTAAACCAGCAATGAGTCAGGACCACGATGATGCAACATACTACAGTGACCAGCCATGGGTGAGTCACAGCTCCCTGCAATTTATTCTACTAGCCCACATTGAGTCCAATAAGCAAACTGCTTCGCACAAAGCGCGGATCGTCCACTCCAGATGTGTGGTGCGTGGGGTTTGAGGGATGACCCAATGACCTTTGAAAGAAGGAGACGCAGCGGCAGCTCTCGTGGTAGTCTTTGATGGACGGTGGAAGGTTTATATCAGGCAAGAACCCATCTCGTTGGATCTGACTGGTGGGTGGGTCTAAATTCTTCTATTTACACGACTTGGGGGAAGGCAAATCCACTGCAGAGTGCATCTAGGCAGGTCGAGACGATTCTTTCACATAGATTTCTTACCACGCAGGCCTGAATGCTGTGTTTGGTATATTGACACAGCGTTCATACCTCTTGATATCTCACTTCATCTCATGTTGTTTCCTGATGCCTAGTTTGTTCTTGTTGCTGCTGATTGCTCTGTCCTCACTTCCCACACAGGCAGGGTTTTAGTGTTGTCCTTCAAAGACTATGGGTCATTGCAGCGGGTCCCATCCACGTTTTCACCGAGGTGTCATCATAGACATCGTGGTGATCCCATTGCGCTTCTTTGACTCCCCGATCGGTGACGCCACCCGGTCAAGTATTTGTTCGGTGCCTTGTGAGAAGTGTTTGAGGCACATCTGAAAGGATTTTGTGTTTGGGGCTTGGGGGAAAGGATGGGAAAGGTTAAAGGTGGGATCGTCTTCATTTGGGATGAGGTACGAGACACGTGTGTTTGTTCAATTTATGTAGCTCCCTTCTAATTGATGTTCAGGACCCAGGATAATTTGCTGAACGCCATGATTCAATATGGGTTCCCACCATCCAATGTTTTAGTGACATGCTGTCCTGTCTTATCCAGCTGTCCTCTTTGTGTCTCTTTGTCATCATGTCTTCTTTTTCTCTTGAGATGCAAGCCTCCAGACAGACCACAAATTTGGGTGTCCCACTGATTCTTGCCCCCAAAAAGATCCTCCCCAGCTCCAGTTCTCGCCTACCCTGGGACCGCTGACCCGAATCTGTGGGATGTGCTGGGTTGATGATCAGCCGGATGGGCAGACCAGATTGGCTGTGTCGATCTTGGACGCTTCCCAAGTCGACTACGATTCATTTGGGAGATGATGTCCAGGCTCTTAACCATGTTCAGGGGTCTCTAGCCACTTTGGTCTTTTGGCACTTGGAGTTTGGCACCACTTGAGGCCAAGTGGGTCGCACAAACAGTTCAGACCAGCGATCCGCCCAGGCGAAACAATCGCTGAGTGTGTTTGCTTTAATCTTCTGGACCTGCGCTCCTTGGCAACAGCGGTTCTGGGAAGAACTCGGTGTGCCAAAGCGAAGAAGATTGCAGCAAGGTCACCCGCTTCTTAATATGGTTTTGATCCTTTGTCCAAGTCCTTTCCTGCAAGAGCGTGGTTCAATTCAACTTTGGTCGGGAAGCGGAATCTGAAAGTGCGTTTAATTTCTACTTATCATTCCACATTCGATTGATCGAATGTCATCGAGTGTGCCAAACCGTGTCGTGTCCTCGGGTAGGTTCAAGGCTCGTCCTCAAACGCTTGTCAGATGCTTGTTGTGCAGGATATCATCGCGTCCTTCCGCACAGGACAATCAGCAGAGGTGTTTTAGATTCCGGAACCTGAGAAGGAATGACATGCGGCCACATGCGATGTTTTCCTTCAAACAGAACAGGCATCCTTTAGTAACCCCCTCAGTTTGAGAGAAATGCAAGGTGACAGGACTCACAGGACTTTGGATTGGAGTCAAAACAAGATGGATGGGCTCTAGATGGATGAGGATCCAAGTGAACATCCAGGTCCAAGTCCATTCAATTCAGAATACAATGATGCTCCAATAAGTTCCATTATGCAACCCTTTCAGAAGGTCGACGATGGCTGTTGATGATGTTCGGTAGGTGACTTCCACATCCGAGGTTGGAAGCAATCTATCTATCGTTTTGTTTAGGCAAGAATGGCGGCATGCCATCCCAAGCCTTTCCAACTTGGAAGTTCCTGCAGGATACTTCGAGAACGGCACTCTGGTGATGGAGTCCCAGAAGGTTGCCTGTCACTATTTGAAGCGTGCTTTCATTTTTGACTTTGCTGCCTCTTGGTTGAATAAGCTGGAGGGAGAGAGAGAGAGAGAGACAGGCTGAGCTTGTGACTCACCCCGCAGTTGGCACTTACACATCAGCAGCATCAAGGGACTTCCTCTCATCCAAGCGTCAGTGTCATGGCCCATTGGACTTGAAATAGTCAACTCAGGAGGCAGGTATGGTGTCCCTAAAAAGAAGGAGGTCTTATCATTCAGCAGCCATCGCTGGCTGCCAGGAGTCTGACTTGACGCCTATACAACTACAGACTACAGGGCTGAAAGGTTCCCAAACCTACACCCTTTTAGGGGCCAAAGGACCAGAAATGCTTGGGTCCTGGCAAAGAATCGGTTTGCCCATGATTCCTGCTGCAAGTAGTTTGAGTATTCCTGAAAACAAGCAAATCTACAGTACCCCGAAACCAAAACACTTGTAGTGCTTATCATTGCAAACCAACTGAAATACTAAAGGGTTCAGATAGTCAATAGTTGTTGTGGCAGGCAGTGACACTCGGCGAACACAAACCTTCTGTAGCATCAAGTGTTGTTGTGCTCTTCAATTCCAAGACCCAGCCAGGCAGGGAGATTAAGTTGAAGCACACCGTTGACAAAACCCATTTACCATTTGTATGGATGTGGCAGGTATCAACACTCCACAGAACCAAATACCAGAAATCTCTTCGTTTCAGACGTCCTTCAATGTCCTTACGGATCCTCAGCCGATTGGCTGCACAAGAGCAAAACCCCCAGCAGTCTCCCGACCTTCCTTTCCCAACGAGGGAAAGCTGGGGGGGTCTTTGTCGTGGCTTTGTTTGCTACTAGTTGCGATCAAAGACATACTAAAAAGTAGCTTCTTGTTCCTAGTAGTAAGGCCAGGAGCCCCTGCTTCTTCGATTCAGGTGGTTCTCTTGGACTATATCCTCTTGGGCCTTGATGGCTTCGGCCCTGTGGATCAGCTGCCAGAGCCCATTCGAATCGTACAGTTCATCCGTATGATCCGCCGCTGGACAGCGCAGTATGCTCCGGGCCATTTGGGGGAGACAGGCGACGGGTGATCCTTGGGAGACGTATTTCTACGGCTCTATGGCAAAGATTGTTAATCATGTCAAACCCTAGCAGGTGTGGAATTCTATGGATTTCTGCAACTTTGTGCTGCCTTTGACAGCTGTTAAGACAGACTTCTGGTATTCTGGCTACTTTGATCTACGATCTATGTAAACCTCATCTCTTTGACCGAGTTTGCGGTCCAGCTGCCATCCCTAACAGCTCCTAAGGGTCTCCGTAGCAGTGGCAACCGGAGGGTGGCCTATACAAAAGGTTGAGTCACATGCAGCAGGTTGAGGGCATAAGAAGGAAGTTTAAGACTTCAATTGCCAAACATAGCACCTAATTGACAACTAATTATGGTCTGCTCAGAACGCGTCCGGTGGGAAGTGAAGGTCATCCAAAGACTTGCCCATTCTTTGTGTAATACTGTAACACTGTAGAGTGTACGAATCGAAGAACAGGTTCCGCTTGTTTGCTGGAATCTCAAGAGATGGAGGCAAGTCTATGAAAGCGTGTTGCATAGGCAGAAGGGGTGATGCAAAATCGTTTGAGCATGGCAAATGTCACTCATTCTTTTGGGTCTCTCTGGGGCATGTCAACGCTGTGTCGACGCTCTACGACAGCCTTGATGTATGCGGGGTGCTCAACTCCGTTTGGCAGATAGAGGACAATTGATCTGACATGGAACCAAGCATAGCCGGAGAGTAAGTTTTTCATTTGCAGTACTGATAGTGCTGGTAGGATGTATACAGATTCGCGACCAATGCCAAACAACTGAGACGAGTGACAACCAAACAAGAGTTGCTGAGAATCCCTGAAAGCGAACCATATGCTGGATAAAAAAAAACAATTCCCTGGCATTCTGACAGTGGGGAAGCTGCTTCATTTGCGTTATACAGAAGAGCCGCAAAGGATCCGAAGACGACCCCAAGTTCACTCGTCATCGACCGGATCACCACATTTGGCTGAGGAGTTGGAAGGCTGTATAAATGGAATCAGATGTTCTTCTCACTGCGGGAGCGCATTGAATCCAACAATTGGGTCGCACGAATAAGCATCTTGGTGGTCGGATGTGATTGACAGCTGCGACTGAAGAAGAAACTCTTAATACCCGACCTCTCTAAGACTGTAGGATCTGGACGAGGTACTTGCCATTTGCTAAACACACAAGATGCCCTCGATTTCAACTATGACAAGCCCCAAAGTCGCCCATGTGATCCTTTTCTGATGATTCAATCCGTTCTCAGTCTTCAGGCCTGACCGAACATAGCAGTCTAGATGTGGGTCTACTTTTTGGATTCCGGAGGCATGAGTGCCATTTCTTTCATGAGGTATTCTGAACATCATCTGCCAGTGCCTTGGCTGGACATGGGGGTAAGTACCTTCACAGAACCTTTAGCAGTGTTTCGCTCGAGTCAGTGCTTTTGAAGACCTGACAGCTGGGTAGTAATTTATTACTCTAGGGAGAACGACTGAATAGGTCAACACCATGCCGGTGTTCCCTATATGGATCCATCCCAGCTGAGCTTAGCTAGTGCTTTTGGTTGAGTTTTTTGACCCCGTGCTGCTCCGATTGATTGCGCCGCACTGCAATAGTACCCATGGAACTGAGGACCAACCGGTCACTGCCGAAAAAACGAAACCTTTTAGGATTTGACAGCACAAGGGTACACATGTTTTCCAGGTTGCATCTTCAAAAACACCGTTCCTTGCCAGAAGCCAGAAGCTGCACATTTTCGTCATTCACCTTTTAATATCAGTTACACTACACTGCTTGTCCCAACAATGTGTGCACATTATGACAGAATGGACGATGTCCAGGATTCTGCTGCTGTACCACGTGGTCGCTTGCATTTTCTTTGGCATCGGCAAGTTTTACAAAGGAGAGATCAGCTGGATCGAACACTACGGTGGGGAGTCCCTGATCGCCTCGATCGGCGCCGTGAGCCCCGTGAGACACTCCGTGAGACAGCAGAGCCAAATCCGACTGCCGACATTGCTTCTCATCCCACGTAAAAGGAACTTAAAAAAAACAAGTTCCTGTGGATTGTCGAGCAATGGCATGTGATCAGAGCTCCAACAAAGCAAGATTTGTACACTTGTTTGGACTTCAGTGCCCAGATTGGCCTGTTTATGTTTGCCACACAGGGAGACAGACGCTCAGGTCTGGCTGAGCAGAGCTTCGCGTACCAATACTCCACGACCCTGCATTGGGCGCTGTGCCAACTAGGTGCACGACTGAGACGGGCCAAGGCATCGTTGAATGGACAAGATGAACGCATGAGAAGTATGGGGCTTCATCAATACAAATATGTATACTGTATATATATCATTATATATATACACTGTATATCAAGATATGAGTACATATGAATATGATTGTGTCTTGCGGAATGCATTTGAGTGCTCGTGCCATGAAAACCGTTTTGACGCTGGTTTGACCCATGCGAACATCATGGAAGGTTCCTGAAAAACATTCCCGCATCTACAGTGACTCCAAAAATATCTGAAAACAACAGATCGCTCTTTTTCCGCGCAGGCTTTCTTTGTTTTGGGGCTCCGACAAACCAAGCAAAAGGACACGAGACTGATAGACCACACCAATTTGTTGGTTGGTTTGCGGGGTTGATCTCATGTTGCAAGAAGTGTATGCAAACATACAAATCAACACTTAGTGTCAATTATGGTTAATTAGTATGTATGCTTCAAACGAACCTTTTGAAGGGACTCTTCATCTGACTTGGTGTGTGTAACGCTTTCAATTTTCCTGGGAACTACGATGCAGGACTTATTAAAGCACGCAAGATATCAGCAGCTTCCAGTTTAGATGATCTAATCTTGGTAAACAGATGGGATTAGGTAACGGTTAGGATCTGGGAGCTGCCATCAAACATGCCAACTGGAAGGTACCTCAGCATTCACGTTGGCAGGAATGGGCTCCAACATCATCGAGGCGACCAACCTGCCAGAACGGCTTTTTGGGATCCTAGCGGTCCTTGTGGCAGTGGTCACTTTCTCGACTCTTGCTTCGATTGGCCGTCCTTGTGTTTTTTAATGTTTGATGAGATGGGCCGTGAGGGTTCAGTAGGAGAGGTGAAATGAGGACTTACCAACCGTACTCGCCACACTCATTTCCTTTCACTTCCCCCCCGGGTCGGTCAAAAGCCCGCCAGTCCCAATACCTCTGCAAGTTTTTTGTTGAATGTTCAAATCCAGTCCTATCGATCCTTTTGGATTCGACAAAGAAAGATCCTTTTTTTCGGAAGTGGGACAAGTGAGACCTCGGAACCGGTGAGGTCTTTGGTCAGTTTGATGACCAGCTTGTTGACGAGCCTTCACAACGAGCGGGAAGAAGAGCTGCATCAATTCCGTGACTTTGCAGGATGTGGTAATATGTAGTGTGCGGATCGTTGCCGATGGGAAGATCCTGCCGAGGAGACCCAAGAATCACGTCCATGAGTCTCATGAATCATCATTGCGTCACTGAGGTGTGTGTGTGTGTGATGAAGGAAGGGAAGGTATTGAAGTGCCATGAAGTGCTTTTCCCGTTAAGGAACGAGATGGGATGAACTACCAACAAGCTATGCAGGTCTTGGATGCCAACTTAACCAGAATTCAGCACCTCAAGACCGTTCCGCCCAGGTCATTTGAAGCTATCCCAAGTGGGTAGTATGATTGCACATCATTCATGCGATCATCCCAAAGCTTAGCTGCATGGAAATCAGGATACATGACGCTCCATTTACGTCTTCCTGGGTGTACGCGCCAAGCGCATTTGGAACTGCAACAAGATTGAATCAACAAAGATGTAAAGCGAGCAATACCAGAGAGAGAGAGAGAGCGAGCGAACGACGGTAACAACTGTTGCTTGTGTTTCAATGATGATTGCACGAACGTAGACGTGAGATACAATGTATGCTGACTGTAGATGTCTATAATGTATATATATGCATTAATTTATATATCACTACAAGTTGCATGCGACGTGTGTATTCCTCTAATCACTGCACACAAGGAAGATGAATGTAGTCACGGGCTGGTCATGGGTTCATGCCATTTGTGTGAAACTTGCAAATGCAGCTAATGCGGCCCGAAATAGAAGGCGCCGTTCTGAATTCTGAGGCTCAGGTGCCTAAAAAGGGCAGCTGTAAAGATTCGAGCGAACCCAAGGTTTGCTTCGGAGCTTCCTGGTGCGGAACCAGATCGATCGGGCCTTGTCGCAGCGTGTGACCCGCTTCTTGCAACACAGCTGGACCGTGCAGCGGGAAGCTCTCTCCGAGACCCAGGTGCACTGGAGGGTTGGTTGGTTGAGAGATGTTGAGAGGATTACTTTTGTTGATTGGTTTTGGTCAGTTGATTGACGGGGCGGATTGTTTACTACCCCTTGACAGAAGTTTACCGGACCCTGAAAAAGTACCACACGAAGGCTCTATCAGAGACCTGCGGTCGTTCCGGGTTCTGTGGCCATCCAGGTGCCATTGCTGAACCTTTTGTCGAAGAGCTTGCAGGGAGAGCTGCAATTTGCCAGGCCCGCCAACGCCGTGTTTTTGGTGTTCAGTCTGGCGTTGGCTAGACTCAGTCAGTGATGGCCATGTTGTTCTTTTCACACAGAGGATTACGGAGGCCTTCAAAGCCCCGGTTAACTTGGAGTTCTGCGTCTTAGGCGTTTGCCGGATGTTTGAGGGTTCAAAGCCAAACATGGAGGTGAGCGTGGTAGCTTCAAGCGAATCCCCGTCAGGTGAGGAGGTGTTGCTTTGGTCAATGTGATGAACTCACATGAATTATGATAACGAAAGATAGTTTGGTGCTACAGTTATATACCGAATTGATTGTCCACTGGATGTGCTTGCTATGGGTGTCGTGCCTAAGGTCTATTGTTACATCAATGTGGTTCTATTATTTTAGGGCTGCTTGGGGTGCCTGGGGAGAATGCAACATGTTCAAGACATTCTCAGACACGGAGGACCCCAGGGACTTGTCAACTTGTGTATGGGTGAAGTCAACAGGTCCCGTGTTTGCAGGGGTGTGGGCAAATGCCCAAGATCCAGCTTGGCATGGTAGTTGCAACAAGTTGCATGTCTTTGGAAAAGAATACTTTGGATATCGGATGTCTTTCTGGAGGCAAGTGGAAATAACACGTACTGTATATACAAATAATTAGTTGCTGTTTTCAGGAAAGACCATTGAGACCCCTTTCCCACAGACCCTGTTCCTCTAAACCTCTCTAAAATTTTAGAGTGGAGAATCCTTTGGTGGGAAAGGGGTCTCAAGGATCACACATGGCAAGAAACGTAAACCTTCTCGAGATCCGATGATACGCACTCTTTTTTCCGCTTAGCGGATCACGCTTTGTGCTTTTTCACTGTCTTTTTGACAGTGGCCTTGGAGCTATCTTTTTTATCTTTCTTATCTTTCTTCTTTTTAGAAGAATCCACTCCGGATGCAATCTTGGACGTATCATCCTTTGGATCCTCAACGTCAGACGGCTGCGAAGGTTTCAGAAAACCAGTGCTCTCATCGAATCTCTTGACCACATTCTCCACGTCTTCGAAAGTTGGCCTGAGATAGTTGATTGGAAATGACCAGTAGTTAGTGGTGGTCTTCGCTGTTGGTTAAACACTCGACTTGACCAGCCCGGCCATTGCACACAAACAATAACTGGACTAAATAAGTCTAGAAACTGGACTCGGTCGCTACCAGTCAAAACACCACCACTCTTCTCATACGCTTTCCACAGCCATATCACCACTTCCATTAGAGCTTCGGCTTGACTCATCATCTTCTTGCTCCCATCCCAAAACGTTGCGTGGCTGAATCGTCTTCCTAGGGGTCCAATTTTTGGTGTGGTACTGTATTCAGTCAGTTGACCCTATGTCACTGTAGTCCGCTCTTTCAACATTGCAGCACTTACCGACCAACAATTTATGTAAATATGTTTTCAATTCAAGTCCTCCACTGGTGAAGAAGGCTTGATATCGCTTGAGCTTGGGATGGCGCGAGATGAACGGCTTCCCATCACCTGACGGCGGCAACAGTGACATCAAAGTCCCTGGAGTATAGTGCTGCTGCGAAGTCGGAGGTTGCTGCAGAACCTTTGCATTCCGCTCAGAAACTGTCTTGTTCAGAAACCGTTCGTCAGCCTCGATCATTCGCTCGAATTCTCTCATATCCTGTTTCGGAAGTCCATGAAATGCAGCAACGATGTCTCGGCTGTGTGGTGATCGACGCTCTATGTGCCTCCATCCACGCCCCAGGAGTCCCCTTAACGCAGCCTGGTAGGTTTGTGAGCTCTGCTGATCAGGAAAGAAGTAGTTTAGCAGGCCGATCGCCCAATCACGTTTGATCAGGCGACCCCGTTTCCCGCTTCCAGAACCTGGCCTGACCATTGCATAACGCAGGCTCGTTTGTATCTCTCGCAATTGCGAGAGAGTCAAAAAGATGCACGACTTGAGTCCTGCTTTCAGGATATTTTCACCTGGCCCTTCCTGCCACAAAACGCAGCCAAAGTGCTTTATGGAAGCAGGCACTTGGTAAGGGTGCAAGATGCTCACGGGCAAACACCTCCAACCCGCACTGTCATCGTCCACTACCCGGTCATTGAATATCCAGTACGGGGTTCGTGAGGACGGCTCTGGATCAATGATCCAGAATACCTGAAGTCCAAGTGTCAAATTTAATTATCAAATGATTAACTGTCAATATCAAAAGTATGTTCAGCCGGCAGTGGCAAGTTGGCAAGTAATTAAGTTTGACTCGACCAACAAAGTAACAAAGTTTTGGTCGGAATGACATAATTTATGACACTTATGGAGACGTATACCAGAAATGACAGAGTGACAGTAGTGCACAAATTGCTCTACTGACTGGCATGCTGGCACGCTACGTCAGTCATTGTTTCGACCTTCTTCAACCTGATGCCGAGCACTGAGCATGATCTGAAGCCCAAAGACAAGTAAACATTGCCCGTCTTGACGTTCTGGTAGACCTTGCCCTTCATCAACAAACATCCTGAGGTAACATTGAGACTGAGAGTGAGTCACTCTCACTCAGTGAGTCACTGACTGAACTTCACAAAAAAATAAACCGTACAATAAAAACAATAAAGCGTTCGGCCTTTTTTGATTCAAGAATCCCGCCCAGCATTTAGCAGCACTTGCAAAGTCACTGGATGCATGGTGAAGAAACCAGGCAGTCGAGGCAGAAGACTTCTGCTTTGAAATTGTGCCAGCTTTGCGAAAGGAACTGAGCTTCTTGTCTTTCAATGCCTTGCTGATGAAATCTGGCAGTGGTGCATCTGTACTCTTGAAAGACTTGCCACTATCAAGCATGCTTTTTTTAAGCTGCTCATGATCTCCCAGCTCAGTGTCCAGTTGAGGCCAGCCAAACAAGTCATCTGGACGCAGGCTTGGCATTGTTCGGCTGTAGAAGTAGCGAACCCACCTTACTGGTGAAATTGAGGGCTAGTATGCGCATGATTCAGAATTGTCAACATCATGGGGTCAGTCCTAATTTCACCTTAGCCTCAAAAATTACAGAGTAATGTTCATCGAGCTGCTTGTTCATAGGGTTGCTCAAGCTCGACAATCGGCAGACGCTCACAAGATGTGCAAAGACATCCTCAAGATCGAACTTGGTGGTTGGAGGAGATGAAAACATTCGCTCGACCAACTTGCGTAGATCACCACCATTCTCCACCTTCCAGTCACAGTCATTTGCAACCAGGTACAACTCACGAGCCAGTTGCATCCTGTTCCACCCAACTTCTGACAACATGCGACTGATCAGCTTCTTCATCGGCTGTTTTTCCACGGCCTCTGCTTTGAACACTGCTTGGAACATTAGCTTGATGTACTGCAGCCTGGTGTTTGCAGCATCGTGCTCAGAGCTTGCAATGCTTGCAAAGGCTTGTGGGACGGAAGTGACGAAAAACATCTGGTTCCATGCACGATCAGCTGCCACTTCAGTAAGCAAGCAAAACAAGCTATCCAATGTGTTTCTCTCATCCTGAAACCACTGAGGCACGTCCTGGCAATCATCCTTGGCAAAGACAGTTGCCAGTTTAGCCTCATCGTCGGAAGGCGCTGAGAACACACTGACACCCATGCGGTCAATAGCCTCCATGTCGTGAAGAACTTTGAACGATTCAAGGATTGTCTGAAACCAGGCGCCACTTGCTCGATCTGCTTGCATCTTCACAGCAGATGCCTGACTGAGCAGTCTGACAAACTGCCGACAGACTTGACTGACAGCTGACAGACAGTCGGTAATGAGAAAGTACACTGACCATTAAATCTATTCTAATTTAATTGATTTAAAAAAAACCGAGTCGTGACTCTCTGACTCACTGATTATCCATCCACCCAATTTAAACCAGTCAGTCAGTCAATAATCCATAACGGAGTTTCATATCTTCCCATGCCTGTGACAATCTGGCTTGGCGTAGCGTGTCTTCATACTCAATCATGTAGGGCCTGCAGGCAGCTGCGACTAGCCTGAACTCGTCCTGAAGGCTTCTGTCATGATACAAATGCGCCACCAACCGGACAGTGTTATCGTACTTTGCACGAAGCTCCTGGAGTTCTTTCTTGGTCTGTGGTTTGCTGCTCTCGGGACGAGCAGAAGCTGCACCATGATCTGAAGCTGGGTCTTTCTTGGTCTGTGGTTTGCTGCTCTGGGGACGAGCAGAAGCTGCAGCATCATCTGAAGCTGGGTCCTTGTTGTCTTCGTTCTCTTCATTCTCGTCACCATCCCCGTTGTCATTGTCACCAGGATCTTCTCCAGCTGAAGACGCATCATCATTGGTATCACCGGCAAAGACATCATCTTCCTTACAGTACAGCAAATGACAATCCGATCACGGAATAAAATCACTGAGACTTTCACCAAAAACCACAACTACGGGCACATCATTTGGTTGAATTCTGCATCGCATCGAGTCAAGCAAAAAAAACAACTATGAGTATTCAATTCCTTGGCAAGCTTAGCTTCAAATCCCAATTCCAAACACCAATCAAGGACCATACTCATCAGGCTCCAGTGGTTGCAAAGATGGTCCATCACGGCGATGCTTGTAAACCAAGACTTTGTCTTCACCTGTCAGTTAGTCCACAGTCCTATCATGTCCTGTCACTCGGTCGTTTGTGTACGTTTCACTCAATGTCACTGATAAGACAGACGAGTCTGTCAAATGGCATTGCAGTACGTTGCAGGCGGGCAACACAGTATACGATTTGCAATTGCAATATTATTAATTAACATTACAATAATAATGCAAACAAAAACAATAGTTGCAGACAAACGACCTGCACTGGCAAGTTCCGTATCACTGGCAAGCCCGGAAGATCAGCGGGACACTCAGGGAAATCATCTGGCAATGTATCGGGATCCTGCTCAGCATCGATACGCCTATCTCTGCAAATTGCTTCCTGTAGTGATTCAAAGTCTTCCTGCGATATGTTGTTGGATAGGTCTTCAGCAGCTTCCTCGAAGGATTGCCTGTTCTTTCCAGAAGCATATGGTCCGTGTGCA